AAAATTATAGAGGAGTACTGTATATTGCTGCTACTTGTAATATTTTGGACAAATGAGAGGGAATGAGACAGGATTAGTTGATAGAGAAAATAATAACTCACATTGGGGAGATAATGCACAGTCATCACTTGCTTCTCTAAATACGCATGATGGTATTGGTAGTGGATGACCATCCACTCCTTCATGTAGAATAAGTTTACTGAATTGCATGAAACACGTTCTTAATTTTGGATTTTCTAGTCTTATCAAATATTGTTATAAGAGGAGGGTAGATAGTTTGCTGCACTAATTACTCATGATGAACTATTTTGCTTCAGACATGTTCTATTTGGTTTAGCCATGGCAGCAAAAGAGGATCTCTTTATTTCTAAGAACCAATCAGAACTCCAGCGTTATACTGATGACATAATTTTCTTTGGACATACTTCACTAAAGAATTATAAATGTCTACAGTGTGTAACAGTAGCAGGATACAAACTGAATCTTTCTAAATGTTTGGGTAGATAAACTGAATTATCTTTTGGGCATATTATATCAAAAGATGGATTGAAACCTGACTCACACCATATAAAAGCATTTTAAAGGCTCACCACCTAAAAATGTCCAAACATTGCATTTTATGTTAAGTCTTACATATCTAAAAATATATACTTCATTATGCATTGTTATGCATTATCCATTTATATTTTTACACTGTGATGTTTTTAGTATGTACACGAACAGCACAAAATGGTTTTGAGCCTGTGAAGTCATTGATTGTACAGTCTAGGAGTACAATCTCTATTTGATAGAGCATTACCTAATATTGGAACTATGATGACATGTTTGAATTAATATTTATTCATTTATTCATCATATTCATATAGCCACCCATCTCACAATCAAGTGACTCTGGGCATTGTACAACCAAGTTAAAAACAAAATAAAATTTAAGCACATTAATACAGATAAGATTGAAAGGATAGTTATATTTCCATCTAGAATATTACAAGATGCAGAAAGTGTCTGTTTTTTTGCTGAAAAAAGCATTTGCAAGTGTGCATAATACAAAGATAATAATAATAGGATTTCTGTGGAATCATAATGATCATGACAAACTGACTGCCATTTAGAGTTTGGAAGGGCAGAAATTAAGATTATCAATTGATATACTAATTTATTGACTTGTATGCAAAAGATGTATATAAATCTGGCACTGAGAATGTAACTGCAGCTTGTTTACTTTGCCTACCATTGCCATCTCCAGATAGTGAGCATGATGATGATATGAAAGGGGTGGCCTTAATAGCCCTTTCTAAAGAGGAATTTACAGCTATGCACTTGCCTTGCCTACAGTAGCTTGATGCTCTGTTTAGATCGGTGATGGAGTTCCCAGGTTTATGATCCTGGGGGACTTCAATCTGCCTTCCTTGGGCCTTGACTCAGAGGAAGCCTGCATGTTCATGGCCAACATGGCAGCATACAGGCCCAAACCACAACGGAGGTGGGGTGTCACATATTAGACATTATTTTTATCTCAGAGTGGTGGCAACGTGATCTGGAGTTGGGGGATATTACCATCTGTCATGAACAGATCACTTCCTGTTGAGCATAGAATTAACTGCAGCATGCCCCCGCCCACAGGAGGCTTCACCTATTCGATCGATTCTCCCCAGGCACTTAATGGACCCAGTTGGGTTTCAGAGGGAACGTGAAGTTTTCCCTGAGGCTCTGATACACAGTTCACATGAGGCCTTAGTTACCATTTAAAATGAGGGAGCAACAATGACTTTAGATTGGATTGCACTTATGTGGAACTCTTGCTGTTTGCAAACTCTGGTGGGGCCCCTCCAGATGATGAAGTAGTATAAGAGACACCTAGAGCCCCACTGGAGAAAAGTTAGGAGCAAATTTGACTGAACACAGGTAAGATTCTTCATTAGGGCCTACCGTGTTGTGATAAGAGTCGTAACACTTATTTCTCCATTCTTGTTGCTCTCTGAGTGTCAGCAGGTGGCCCTGTTCAAGGTGACCCAATCCCTGCTGGGTCAGGAGGGACAGGGGAGAACCTGCAGGGTTACTGTGAATGCTGTTTTGACATTTGGTGGATAAAACTGTTTGAATTTGTTCCTAGCTGGACTCCAGCTGGGCATGTTGGAGTTGACTTAGGCATGGCCTTGTGATTTTATCTGGAAGGAGTTATTCTGAGGATATGGGCAGGGTGGGTAAATCCTTGTGATAGTGAATGCTACCTTGAGAGATGGGATAGTCTTGTCAACTCTGAAAGAGGCAGTGGTCCATCCCATTCTCAAGAAACCATCTCTGGATCCCATAGATTTGTACAACTTTTGTCCAGTTTCCAACCTTCTGTTCTTGGAAAGGTTGTTGAGAATGTGGTCAGCCTACAACTCCAAAGTATCATGTTTCAAGCCAGAATAATACTGAGAGAGCTTTGGTCACACTTGCTGATGTGGCAGCTCAAGATGGAGATAGTGCATCCATCTTGATTCCCCTTGACATCTTGGCAGCCTCCCATACCATTGACCATGGAATGTTTCTGGACTGGCTTAGGGGTTTGGGGTTCTGTAGTGATTCTCTTCCCTCCTTTGGGCCTGGTTCCAGTCAGTGTTGGGGGGAAGTAGTCTAATCCTTGATCCCTGCTTTGCAGGGTGCCTCAAGGCTCTCCCCTCCCCTCTAACATCTACATGAAGCCACTGGGGTAGGTCATCTGTCAGCCTAGGGTGCAGTAGCATCAGTATGCTGATAATATTCAATTGTGTATCTCATCCCCAGCCAACCAAGTAAAGCTATCAAGGTTCTCTTCCAGTAACTGGAGGCTATGGGGTCAGGTTGGGGAATCACAGGCTTCAGTTCAACCCTGCCAGGGTTCAACCCTACTGAGGACAGCTCAGCAAAATATGTACAACTGGCTCAACCTCTACCTTTGAGCACACATATATATGTTCCTGGTAAGGAATATTACTGAATTTTGGCTTCAGTTCTTTAGAAGAGTAGAACATAGAATCTCACTAATGTGAATGCTTTTCTATTTGGAGCAGAGGCAATATTATAAAAATATTTATAGATGATATAAGGGGAGCTGTTAAGGTCTCTGAAGCAGTGATACAAGCTTTTTTTCCTGTCCTTTTGTAGATCCAAATAAAGTCATCTTTGTTTAATTTATGCCATTGTTTTATTTGGGCCCAATATAAATAAATTGTGGAATGAGTGATTGATGATGATGAT